ACAGCTACACACATTATTTTGCCGCATCAAATAAGATAAAAGAAATACAGTCCCGAAGCGCAGTATCCACATAATCTAATAAAAAGAGGTATAATCAAACTTTTGCTTTAGAGAAACCGTTTTTTTTTGTTTTTTTTTTTGAGTATTTGCTAATACTTGAAAATTTGCATAAAATTCAGCGTTAGGTTTTATTGGGACCGTGTTTAATTTTTAAGCCACAATCGTACCCATAACCCAAAGGAGACCTATTACATCACTAATAAAGTTAAATGGGCTAACGACTTATTTAGCTGTTAGTAATACATATTTTTAAAATAGTAAGATGGTAATTAAAGATACATTTTGAGAATTTGCTTTTGGCAAAAATAATAATTTAATCAAGATCAGCGTCCTTTTTCAGTCGGTTTCTCATCCCTCATTTACTTGAATTTGCTTATTTCTCCTATTAAGGCCTTTGGTTCTGAGCTACCCTGAGCAGTGCTGTTAAGGCATCTGCCATTAGAGGGCAGACGGTGCCTGTACTGAGGTGGCCTCTGCAAAAAATAAAAGCTCAGCAGTGGAAGGAATAAGTCAGAACTGAGGTGATTTCTTATGAGAGAGACTTATTTTCAAAGAAACAAAACCCCTCCCATAGACACTGCACAATCAGGAATTATAGGGGAGGGACAGTGGCAAAGTAAAGGTATTCTTGGAAATCAAAGTCAGATGCCACAAGGGTCTTAGGGAATGAAGCTTATGGGTCTGATAGAGGAAGAGGGGGTGCTGGTGGGAAGGAGAGCTGCCAGATGGAGAAGAATCTGAACAATTCTGGCTTCTTTATTAGTGGCCCTACTACCCTCCTAAGCTGTCGTTACAACAGTGATGTGTATGTTAAAGATGAATAAAATACCTGGTGTTTTGATGAACTCCCTGCCGGGATTCTAATATGCTTTTTGCTTTAAAGATACTCTGTTACTCTTAACAGACTTTTGAATATTCGGGTTATAAATTGATAAGTGGAATTTAATACAGAATTGAAGAAAATTGGGTGGTTTGGTTTTTTGGAAAGGGGGAAAGACTGCATTTCTTTAAGGCTACTTACTATTTTATGTTTTTTATGTATTTGGTAACCATTTCTTTAAGTTAAAAAATATTTTTTTTTTCCTTAAGGCCCGGTACTGTGGCACTTCGTGAAATTAGACGTTATCAGAAGTCCACTGAGCTGCTCATTCGCAAGCTTCCCTTCCAGCGTCTGGTGCGAGAAATTGCTCAGGACTTCAAAACAGACCTGCGCTTCCAGAGCGCGGCCATTGGTGCTTTGCAGGTAAAAGGGCGGCAGGAAAGGCTCCAAGAGCTGGGGCTGCTGGGTACCACGAACACACGATTATTAAATCATCACAAGCCTCTTTTCATTGCTGAGGTGTCAGAAAGGTTCAGTTGCTCTAGGTCATACACACAAAATGTAATTTGAACCCATTTGACTCCAAAGCCTAGTGTGCATTCCATTATACCATTAAAAATGTTTAACATTGCACTATAAGCAATGTTTAAGGGGGAAGGTACCGTCGGGTTTGGCTTACGGATGCTGTCGGACAGTAAGGCTTGGTCTGTACTGGTAGTTAGTTTCAAGGTGCTGACGGAAAAGGAATGTTAGAATAAATGTCTTGCTGGTACTGAAGAGGCAGATGAAGGTGGAGAGAGCATACTAGCTGGGCTGGCACTAAGCAGAACTGTGCGGTGAGGTAGAAGATGGAGCCGTGGTTTAGGGCTGGCAGTGCGGAGAAACGGCTCTTAAAGACACCGGCTTGTCAGGGAACAAGGATTGGAAGGCTTGTCCTTTGCTGAAGGGGGTTAGGGATTTCACTTTAAATGGGAAGCATGTGAAATTTAATCTTGGGTCCAAGGTGTCAGAACTTTGAGAAATGCTATTTTAGGGGTGGTTATGTATTTGAAATATTTGTGGTTTATGCTGAGGTTAAACTTGAAATGCCCACAAGTGAGATAATTTGATTAGGTACATGGGAATAGTTTTGCTTAAGTAACCCTGTTTTCTATTGTGTGTTTGGTATTCTTTAGATCGGTGTGTCCCATTAGAGCGTGGGGTTGGAGGTGATTAAAAATGCAGATTGCTGGGCACCACCACAGATCTGAGTTACAGTCTCTTTGGGAAGGGCCTGGAATCTACGTGCCCTCCATTGGGTGATTTTCAAGGCTGCTGTTGCTGTGCCAAGCTTTTGCTTTATAAGTGAGAAGGATTTGATAGGTGGATTCTATACTGAAATGTAATTGGTTGAGCTGTTTCTATGGTTAGTCTGAACTTCATTTGATTGGTGAATTCCAGGCTCATTGGGTGAATTCCAGGTGTAGGCAGCCATTAAATTGTCAATGAATTGAAATTTCAAACTACTAAAACCTTCCAGTGTTGTTACTTAAAACTTTATTTTCTGGTTTCATCACAGATCATCTTCAGGTCCTGTTTCATTTATTATTGCCATTGCAAATCACAATTTCCCCACCATCTTAACACAGAAATATTACTAAGAATCTTAGCATTGGTTCAAAGCTGCTAATTTTGTTTTCTAGTTAGAGTTAACAGGACTATGCTTTTTGAGAATATAAGTTATACTTGAAAATCCAACATTTTGAGTTTGTCAGTGATACAGAGCCTTATAATTTGAGGTTGCTAAACAGTTGAGTAAGCGTCTATTGTCTTTAAATTCCATGTGTAAACTTCCATTGTTACTGAGTTTAAATGTCAGTATACAGCCTTGTAAATTGAAATTACTAAACAATCTGGATAAAAAGACTATTGTCTTTTTAAAATTCATGTGTAAACTTTTATTGTTGCTGTTATGTATAGTTGTATTGGTTTTGAGCGAATGTTCACCTCTGCTGCCCATAATATTCTAGTATTAGATCATTCTTATTTTTATTGGAAAGAGTAATCTTTATTACAAGTTTTTTGTTTTCTTATTTTATATATGCACTTCAGTTAAGTTTTTTGTTTTGTGTTTTCTTTTATATATGCACTTCAGTTCTCAAAGATACAGAGATGGGGAATTGGCTAATAAAAGAGTAATAAAAGAAAGCAATGAATTACAAAGGTTTCTTTGTTTTTGGCTTCAGAATTATAACATAATTTACAACTTTTCTAATACAACTAAATGAGGGTAGGAGGGTAGTTTAGTAAGGATGGTAGAAAAGTTAGTCTAGGTTTGCCATAGATATAATCAAGAATTGACTAAACTTAAAACTTAGCCTTTGCCTTTAATATCTGAGAGTTTGAACTAAGGTATTTTTATGTTAAAAACGGACAAAGGTTTGTTGAAATGGTGGAAGAGTCAGACATTGGACAAGATTAACAATGCTGTAAATGTTTCCTTCAAGTTGTTAGGTATTTTCTGTTATCTCAAAATTACCTTCATTGGGCTACAAATTAACATGATAGTCTTTCATTCTTATCACAGCCTTAATGTTTAGGAGACTGGGACATTGTTTATAGAATTGGAAATATATGGGTTATAGATTGAATCTTCTAGAGTTGACCAGACCCAGTCCTGTAAAACTGATAACCAGGTTCTAAGACAGGACTGAGAGCCCTGGCTGCCATATGGCGCATCTGAGTAGCACAGGGGAGTGCTACGTAAATGGTCTCCGAGTCACAGGGCCTATTGGCCATATATCAGCTCATACTACTGCTTTTTCTTTTCTTGCAAAAGCATTCTAGATATGCATAATGCTGAGATAAGGGGGGTAAAACAACATTAAACTTCAAACCTCCCAAGAGTAGGCTACAATATGCTGTATTTTCCAAACCTTTTTACCCATTTCTAGAATAACTCGAATGAATCCCTGAATATTAAATTAAAGAATTTTGCTGTTAATATATTCTTTGGAATGAGTTTGATATGAGGGACCCATTGTATAGGAAAGATGCAAATTTAAGTTAGGGTTAAATATAAAAACGCAACCAGCAAATATTTATTAAACATCTGCTTAAGAGCGAGGCATTAGGAGTATAAAATGAAATCTCTGTTAAGTAACTGAAGGCCTTAAGAGTTGGCTGGTGTACGACTCATGGGTGCCAGGGTGGAGGTGCTTCAAGGTTACCGGCACCTGGAAGCCTGGCAAGAGGAGTGCGTGCATTCTCCTTCGTGGGACGGTCTTAGGTCGCCTCACAGAGTAGGTCAGTGAGACCCGGCTTATGGTCACAAATGCTGCATAACGACAGGTAGGGAGAGCGAAGTTCGGGTGAAACAGGTTTTTATAGGAGAGATTAGATGAAGGGTAGAAGGTGAAGAAATATTTTTCATAAGCTGGAATAATGTGAACCATTTGAATTAGTGTTGCTGTGTTAATGCTTTTGAAAGCAGAATCTCCGTGGTTTTATTGCATAGTCAAAATGTTTGTAAAAGGCAAACCTGACTTCCCATCTGTGTGTCTTATGTAATATGGGGCTTGAACTGCCCAAGTATTTCTGGGTTTGTTTTGTTTTAAATATGTTTTTATTGATTTCAGAGAGGAAGGGAGAGGGAGAGAGAAATAGAAACATCAGTGAGGAGAGAGAAGTATTGATCTGCTGCCTCCTGTACATCCCCTACTGGGGATTAAGCCTACCACCTGGGCATGTGCCCTTGCCTGGAATCAAACCCGGAAGGAACCCTTCAGTCTGCAGACCGACGCTCTATCCACTGAGCCACCTTTTCAGACAGCTGTAAGATGCACTGACATTTTGAGTTGAGTCACAGTAGAAGCTCCCCTTTCCCTCTTTGTATACCAAGTGTCAGCGAGCGATTCCCACAACTAACAGTGATAGTAGGGATAAGAAGATACCTTCAAAGACTCTTCCAGCGTAATAGGAAAGCCTAATGGACCAGTATTAATGCCACTATATACGGGGGTGTATAGAGGAAGGTGTGCTTGATAGGGGTGGGGTGCACATCTGCTAGGCAAAATAGGTCAGCGTGTGTGTGTGTTCTGGAACCTGCAGTACTCTTGTGATGCAATCTGAGGTGTAAAAGGAGGGTAGGCTAGGGAGGACCATAAGGTGAACACCATTTGTCTGCTGTATTGCATTATTGGGCAAGGCAAAGGTCAAACCTATCTGGGAGTGTGAGTGGGATTCAGAGTGAGACACTGAGCAGGGAAGGAGTATTTGGATTGGTTATATGATTCCATTTATAAGCTGCCTTTTAACTTTATCCCCTAGGTTTTTAAATGTAAGCATCTGGTAAAATAGTTAACGTTTTTAAAGGGTTCAGTAACCCCATCATTGTAACTTTTTTAACAGTTGGGAATACCATTAATATATATTTTTTTTATTCCTGTTGTAGGAGGCAAGTGAGGCCTATCTGGTTGGCCTGTTTGAAGACACCAACCTGTGTGCTATCCATGCCAAACGTGTAACAATTATGCCAAAAGACATCCAGCTAGCACGCCGCATACGTGGAGAACGTGCTTAAGAATCCACTATGATGGAAACATTTCATTCTTTTAAAAAATTTTCTCTTCTTCCTGTTATTGGTAGTTCTGAACGTTAGGTTTTTTTTTTTTCATGGGGTCAAAAGGTACCTAAGTATATGATTGCAAGTTGAAAATAGGGGACAAATCAGGTATTTGGCAGTTTTTCCATTTTCATTTGTGTGTGAATTTTTTTAATATAAATGCGGGGACATAAAGCATTAATGCAAGTCAAATGTTTCAGTGAACAAGTTTCAGCAGTTCAACTTTATAACAATATAAATAAACCTGTTAAATTTTTCTGGACAATGCCAGCATTTGGATTTTTTTAAAACAAGTAAATTTCTTATTGATGGCAACTAAATGGTGTTTGTAGCATTTTTATCATACAGTAGATTCCATCCACTCACTATACTTTTCTAACTTAGTTGTCCTACATGCAAGTACATGTTTTTAATGTTGTCTGTCTTCTGTGCTGTTCCTGTAAGTTTGCTATTAAAATACATTAAACTATACTTGCTTTTGGTCTTTATTATCAACCTTACCCTTATAATTCACTTGAAATGTTCATATTCAAAATAATTTTAGTATCAAGTGTTTTGTCACCTTATATCTGAAACAAATGTTGAGAGGGAAAGTATAATCCTTGTATAGTGAATCTTTTTGCCAAAACCAGATCTTAACTCTTTGGATATGTTGTATTCTAAACCAATAACTTTCAAACCTAGTCAGCTAACAATATTACATGGAAATAGTGGAAGTCTGTAAGTAGTGAAAGTACATTTATAAACATAGTAAGTCCAGTCCAAACATTTTAAGATGCTGTGTATTAACCCTGAAGTTATTAAGCACCAATAATTACTTCTTAGGACGTTTTAGCCATGGAATGATGATAACGAACCTTTTTAAGACCTATAACACCTCCCTGATAGTGACCATTAGTTGTAACACTTGAGTGTGTTGTTTTTAATTTGTATTGATTTTTATAGCGGAAGGGAGAGGGAATCTATTGGCTGCTTCCTGCATACCCCACCATTGGGCAGTTGATCCCAACCCAGGGATGTCCCCTGACTGGCAACCTTTCAGTGCATGAGCCACACCAGCCAGGGCTAACCATTTGAGTAATTTAAGCTCCTGGAAGTAAAGTGAAATATTAGACATCAGTGAACTAAGAACAGGCCCATGTCAAAGTGCAACACTGAGCTTATGTTCTTACTGGTTGTAAACTTTTAGCTATAACTTAATTTTTATATTGTTGGTTGTTACAAAATTCCTTAATGATTTGTATTTTTTTAGAGCCTACCATTTAGGGATCTTAATGTGACCCTTTGCATCTGCTTCCTCAGACAGGCACTAGTAGAAGTATTGGCAAGAGCATCTAGTTAAGTGGTTCTCAACCTGTGGGTCGTGACCCCTTGGGGGTCGAACGACCCTTTCACAGGGGTCGCCTAAGACCATCGGAAAACATATAATTACATATTGTTTTTGTGATTAATCACTATGCTTTAATTATGTTCAACTAGAGGCCTGGTGCACAAAATTTGTGCACTTGTGGGTGTCTCAGCCTGGCCTGTGCCCTCTGGCAGTCCGGGAGCCCTTGGGGGATGTCTGACTGCTGGCTTAGCCCGCTCCCCCTGGGGAGCAGTCAGACATCCTTAGCGCTGCTGCAGAGGTGGGAGAGGCCCCGCCACTGCTGCTGCGCCTGCCAGCTGTGAGCCCAACTCGGGGCTTCTGGCTGAGCGGAACTCCCCCTGTGGGAGTGCATTGACCACCAGGGGCAACTCCTGTATTGAGCATCTTCCCCCTGGTGGTCAGTGTGCGTCATAGCAACTGATTGTTTCACCGTTTGGTCGATTTGCATATATTAGCCTTGTATTATATAGGAGGATTTTTAACAAACTACATCCTGCGTATCATATATTTACATTACGATTCATAACAGTAGCAAAGTTACAGTTATGAAGGAGCAACGAAAATTTTATGGTTGGGGGTCACCACAACGTGAGGAACTGTATTAAAGGTTTGCAGCATTAGGAAGGTTGAGAACAACTGATCTCGTTTATTTTTATTTTTTATTGATTGATTTCAGAGAGAAAGGGAGGAGAGAAAGAAACATCAATGATGAGAGAGGATCACTGATCGGCCGCCTCCTGCACACCCCTCACTGGGGATCAAGCCCACAACCCAGGCATGTGCCCTTGGCCGGAATCGAACCTGGGACCCTTCAGTCCAAAGGCTGATGCTTTATCCACTGAGCCAAGCCGGCTAGGGCTGATCTAGTTTATTCATTGCAATGTAAACTAAAAGTTGAGTGGTATGTCCCCTGTTCAGGTCTCTGCAGTGCAAAGGGACACAGGAGTACTATTCATGAAAACAGGGAAGTGGGTGTCCAATAGGATAAGGAAAGTTACCTGCTGAAAGCTTACAGACCAGTTCCTTACAAATAGTCCTAGGTGCTCACTGTCTAGGTATCATCCAATGAGTCATCCGTTACAAAATGAGACCCAAAAACTGCCATGTATTCTCATTCCTGTGAGGCGAGCCACTCCTTCCAGCTCAGGAAAAGTTTAGTGAATTCGTGTTGGGAACTAACTAAATTTACACACTTGGTTATGGTTAGTTTTTAGCATCTTCAACAAGGTAAACAGCATTTGAATACTAAAGTAACTATACAAATGAAAAAACCCTATGAAATTATGTGGCAAGATAATTTTTACTTGGTTTTAGGGAAGAGAAACATCAAATTTGTTGTTCCGCTTACTTATGCATTCACTGGTTACAGCTTGTATGCCCCCTGACCAGGGATGCAACCTGGTGTATGGGATGATGCTCTAACCAACTGAGTTACCCAGCCAGGGCCAAGGCAAGATAATGTTAGGTTAGGTCTTGGAGAAACCAGGGGAATTACTGTAGCTGGAAGGACATTTAGGGAGGAATTTGGGAACATTCTCTTAATGTTTTCTTTTTTATTTATTTATTTTTATATATATTTTATTGATTTTAGAGAGGAAGGGAGAGAGAGAGAGAGAGAGAAACATCAATGATGAGAGAGAATCACTGATTGGCTGCCTCCTGCACGCCCCCTACTGGGGATTGAGCCCGCAACCCAGGCATGTGCCCTTGGCCGGAATCGACCCTTCAGTCCCTAGGCTGACACTCTATCCATTGAGCCAAACCAGCTAGGGCTAATGTTTTCTTTTTTAAAAAAAATATATTTTGATTTTAGAGAGGAAGGGAGAGAGAGAGAGAAACATCAATGATGAGAATCAATTATTGATTGATTGCCTCTTGCATGCCCCCTCCTGGGGATCAAGCCCACAACCCAGGCATGTGCCCTTGGCCAGAATCGAACCTGGGACCCTTCAGTCCACAGGCTGACGCTCTACCCATTGAGCCAAACCAGCCAGGGCAAGTTGGATTCTTTTAAGCAAATTGGGAGAATCTCACTTTGCTAATAGAATTGGGTGAGCACTTGAACAATACCCAATTCTTGACAGCCTACAAACAGGAAATTCAAATATGCAAATTTAGGGCTGCAGGACGCCGAGAATGTAAAGGTCTAAAGGTGCTCGGGCTGAAATTTAATTCTTAACCCTGTAAGATAGGTACCATCATATACCCCGTTTTATAGGTGAGAAACTTGCCAAGATCACAGTAAATTGAGATGGAAGATGTGCCCCGATAGGCTGTATCCAGGGCCTTGCTCTTTTAATTCCCGTGCTCTAAATGTGAGATAAATTAGTTCATTTTGGGGCGGGGGTTGCCAGAAGTTAAGAGTCTTGAGTTGACAGTAGTAACAACTGATGGAAAAAGACAAAATTGAGAATGGACAGCATGTAGACATCACAAGAAAACCCCTCGCATTTGAAAACGAGGTATGAGCACTGACCGTTAGATTTGGCAACGTGGAGGTGATTGGTGATCTTGATCATCAGAACAGTTTTGGTGACAATAGAGAACGAATGTGACGAGGGGATTCGAGAGCGACTGGGGCTTTGACTTAAAATGATCACATTTCACATCGTCAATAAGGAGACAGGCTGTGAGCCTCCTAATGTAAAACACGGGGGCACGACAGGAACCCAACGTTTCACCTGGTTACAATCGCGAGGAAGCAGCCAGAGAAATCCAAAGTGCACAACAGTCTGCAAACAGTTTCACAGAAGGAAACGGGCAGGGGAAGCCATGACTGGTGGCTGCCAGCTGAGCCAGGCGACCACAGGCTCCAGCCGGTCAGCAGATGGCCGCACACCCGGCCAGGACGGACCCCCGAGAGGCACTGCCAGTCCCGGGACATGGGGGTGCGAAAGGCCGCCCCTGCCAACCGTCCCCGGGAGCAGCCCGGCGGAGTGGGGGGCTGTCAGGGCCTCGAGAACTGAACGTTCAGGGTCCCCCCACCCCCTCCCCTCGCACCCACATCCTCGATCCTAGATTCGAGAGCCCATCCCCTAGCCTCCGAGCCCATGTGGCCGCCGCTCTGGCCACCGCCAGCCTCAGGCGTCGAGGCCCTGCGCCACCACCAGGGTCCTCCCGCTGGCGGACGCGGCACCCCACTCAGACCACGCCCCTCGGATCCCGCCGCGCCCCCCGCCCCCCAGGCTGCGGGGGTGGGGGGGTGGGGGCGGGGCAGGGGGGAGGTTACCACCTAGCGATCTCGCCACATTTCCCGGCTTCCCGGCGCGCCCCCCGACGGTACGAAAAGGACCAGGACTTATTCGTGAGCAGGGAAGAGAGCTTAATTTATATATTACATCAATACTAAAAATACATCATTACTCAT